GATTGGTGGAATTTTGTAATTTACCAATAAAATTTTCGAAATTCCCTTATTCGAAAATGTGGACAGTTTAAGGGATAATTCGTTGAAATGACTAAATAAAATTTTACAATGCTTGCTCAGAGAATTAAAACGAAATGAAAAACGTTTAAAAAATCTTTATTATTATTGAATTGAGTTGGAGTTCCTCCTATTCGTAATAGTAATAGTGATATCAATTTTTTTACATATCAAAAGCATCAACAGCATTTAAAACCATTCCCACTTAGAATTACTCTGCAAGCTCTAGCACCAGCACAAAATCCTCCTTAAGAGGCTCTCCTCATTGCTTTGCACAAAATTTCCGCCCCAAGTGTCTAAAGGCGGCATGATTTCATTCAACGAGAGTCTCCCGACGTTTCTGCCCACTAGAAATGAAAAAAAAAATACAATATAACATCAGAGGAGTTTTACCAATGGTCAATCTAGAAGCAGGTCAGAGCTAAGTACTATACATATCTAACAATAGATAAATTGGTAGAATGGCTAAGTAAACCGGAAATAAAAAAAATAATCCAACTCTCGGGAAAAAGAGCATCAAAAATGGGCAAGAGTGGCTTGATCAAATAGAGGAGATGGGACCGGAATCCAATGACGAACCTAGTGAAAGAACCAGAAGTACATTTTAAAAAAAATCCGAGATCCATATATTGATAGGAGCCAAAAAATTTAATGAAGGGAAAGTATGCGATTACCATGCAACTGTACCACAAGGATATCATGCTGAGGGTGACCATTAGCATCCTTTTGAGTCAATTGAGGAAAAGATCGCAGATATATATATAAAGGAGAGTTAGGTTTTAAAGGGTGGATTAAAGGTAAGAATAGTGTTAATTGCATTAATGAAAAATTTAACAGAGCCTAGACCGGGAATCCATGAAGATAGAAATTATTAGATGATCGAACCAATGTGTGTATAAAAGGGGTTATAATAGATTAGAATTGTCCAAAAAAATCCTTATTTGGCTACTATTTATATTTTGTTTATTATGTTAGTTTATTATTATTACTATTATGGTTATTGTTATTATTATTATAATACTGTATTGTTGATATTATTATTTTTTCGATGAAACCATAACAAATAATTAAATTCTTGTTACACATTATGAAAACGTATAGCTTTTGTTTAAACGCGATTCGTAATCTTGTTTCAACTAGTGATGGGGGCGTAAAAACCTTTTCCGATTAGTTTGTTAAAAATTTTCGGTTTGGCTCAAAGTTAATAACTATATATACTAATAATTTAGGAGTTACTATATTATTATTATAAAAAAGCTTTCATGGAGAACACACGGAAAATGAATTCCACTACTTCCAACAGTTTGATTTTTGAAATAGAAATAACGCGGACAAATTTATCATTTCCGTATGGGGCCTGGCCACTCACTTTGTTGTGATAATGTTATCTGTATTTATATATAATCAAAATAAAATATCATTGATACAGAAATTATTGTTTCCATTTCAGATAATAAAAAGGCTTTGTACTAGTACCACAAAAATCGTTTATTAAATATTTATTTATAATTAAAATAGTCGAAATCCAACCCTAAAATATAACGACCAAAAAGACTTGGCAACACAGGAATCTGGATGGGCCTTTTTTCAGTGATAAAGAGATATTTTTAGAAATATGCACTTTCAGACTTCCGTGTGATACGAAGCTTTAGACAAACCACAACTTGGTCCAATAAATCTTAATGATAATTATGGTTTTAAAGATTGTGTATCAGCCTATCATGCAAGAGAAGATGTATTAAAAGCAGGACAGAAACCTGCACACCTTGAACGCATAAATAAAATTCGGCGTTATGCCAACATAGCCAATTTTGATGGTATAAATTTTCCATAAACACTTCATGACATAGATAAATTTGAGGAGATCAATCCTAATTATGCTACCAATGTATTATATATAGAAGCATTCGGATGAATAAGGGTAGAAATCGATCCTTTATGGGGGAACCTAAATGATCGAAACAATATGAATGACATTCCAGAAGGATTAAAAACGCATTATGTACTTATAATAGACTTTGAGCATTTAATGTCGAAAATGTCTGGATTTTCCATACAACCGATTGGATTTATTAGAAAAACATATTTCCTGGCGTAAAGGAGCAAGCAACAAACTATTCTTCCAAAAGAAGAGAAAAATTTTGTTATGCTCAAATATTTCAAAAATATGTTAATTTATTTACTCTTGACTTGGAAGCAAAAGAAACCTCAACAGAGGAAAAATGTTAGGAAGAAAATACAATAAAAGAAGCTAAGCAAATAACAATCTCGTATGGATATATATTACATCATTAAATTAAAAATAAATAATCTCGATCAATAAGTTAGTTAATAAGTTAATGATCGACGAAGCAAGAAAAATGATGATGATAAAAAAATCACATGTAACTAGTCCATAAAAAAAAGTGTTATTATTTCCATTTTTGAATATAATATCTCTAGTTTATCGGTATAGAGAGATTTATGAAAAAGTCATGATCAAAAATCTTCGGGAATAATAAAAAAACAAATTTTCACACAATTTTAGTTTTCTTTCGTCATAAAATTTTCCTATGTTCCGTGTAACGTTTATAAAATCGCTAATCTGCTTGTATGACACCCCCAATATCCATTCAATGATTTTATAAATTTATATCATATTATGTATCGGTAAAACATAAATTATTTTGCAAGTTGTATATTAGAAAGATTAATTTATTAAATAATAATAATTATTAAAAATAATAATGATGAACCATTTTTCTATCTATATATATTAACATTTTTAAAAATCACCAAAAGTCCATTTTTTCTTCTTAAATCCAACTCGTGATATTCTTCATTTTCACCCACTCTAATCATAATAATAACAAATAACCAACCAACCAATATAAATAAATGCCCATATGATATATATATAAACATATACACATAAAAAATTATTGAAGAGGTTCATCACTATTTGAAAGTCGATTCAAATGAAGATAAACATCTGTTCCAAACCTACTCAACATTATATATATATATATATATAAGGATTAAATAATATCAATTGTGCAAATACATATATAACACACACATATAAAACTTACCCTTCCATTGAAATCAGCTTTAAATCACCACCAAAATATCTTGCATACTATTTATTTAAATAGGAAAAAAATATAAAAATTTTATTATATACATATATACATACATATAAATAAACACATTGAAGGAATATTATACCAGTCTGCTAATTGGTAATCCATAACCATATCCGGCCATTGGTGCTCTAAATTCCTTTTGATTAAAATCTGGATCTAACGCTTTTGCTTGTGCTGTCGTGTACATATAGGTCCAAACTAAAGGAATACTACTTCTTGGAATGCCACCGCCTTCATCTGATATCTTTATAGTGATATCCTAAAATGATAATAATAATAATAATAATCATAATCATAATCATTATCGTTACCTTAAAGAATGTATAGGATAAAGTAATTGTATCAACATCATTCATCAAAGGATCACTTGAAAATTCGGGATCAATGAAAAAGAATACAGGCATATCGACTTTTTCATTTGCTTCTAATTTTTGTTCTTCGAAACAAAAACACTGAATTTTATTAAAATATTGAGCAACCTTTGCTGGTGTGACATTATAAGTTGCAATTCCAATAATGTCTTGACTAGTTTTATTTTCTGCTGTGTAAAAAGCAAGAGCTGATTCACCAGGCAAAACTTTTAATTCACGTTGTTGAGGATGAAAACTCCAGGGCAGAGACATTGAAGTATCTGAATTAAATTTTATCTTCAGTCTTCTGGATGATTTGTCTGGTATCAATCTATCAGTGTTGTCGTTATTGTTGTTGAGTATAATCGGCGTGCCTCCAAATCCTGTTGTTTGACAAAATTTACGATATAAAGGAACTGCTGCATATGTTAAACCTAACCCGAACATTAATATTGAAGCTGTATACATTAACAAAGATTTATTTCTATTTAATCTAACATTACTATTATATAAAATGTTTTTTGTTGAATAAAAACTTTTATTACAATTATTTCTAAATATTACATTTTGTCCAATCCTGTTGATAAAATACATTTTTTTTTTTCTTCAAGATCAACACATGTTAAAGTTTGAAATTAAAATCAAAATTTTGGGAATACAAATTCTGACTGGCTAATTTGAATTCACGCGTGTGTTTTCCCGTCACGTGACTTGGGATTTATTTCGGAAGCAAAGGATTAAATGATAAAGGAAAATTATATTTTATTTTAATTCGACTAATGCATAGAAAAATAGACCTATATTTTTATATTACAGAGTTTGTTATAATTTTTATAATGAGGAAAAAGACCAAGGAAAAGTCCAATTAACAATTCGCAGATAAATTCAGCTAAATTGACTTTAAGAAAAAGTTATCTTTATTTATAGTGAAGTTATCGGAAAGATAATTTTAAATATATTTGCAGCTTCATTTTTTAAATTTAGTTTTTTGTAAATCTTAACAAGAGTTAGTAAAAAAATTTTATTTCAATATTACAAGAAATTCTTTACCTATTTATAATTTTTGTTCTCCTTAAACACAAAGAATTTCTTGAACCGTAAAGAAAGTGATTTGGCCGAAATTCTATTTCTAAATTCATCTAAATCCTGAAATCGAAAAAAAAAATTAGTATATTATTACGATTTAAAAATATTCTGGATGCAGCAAAAGAATACACTGTGATCATTATACCTTTAAATCATTAGAAAAAACTGTTCCTTTGACATTAATTAGATTCTGTTTCTCTTGAAAAAACTCGAAAGTTTGCTCGCAGGTCTTGGAGATTTATTGATGGTTATAGAAAGGTATCAACAGGCATAGAAGCTTTATATTCAGTAAAAGATATAAAATCTCAAAAAAATTCCAAATAATGTTATTTATAATAATAAATATCAAAATTTCTCCGTGTCGTTTTCCAAATTTTGAGTTTTGTGGGCCTCGGTGGAATTTGGTAGTGTGGCGCAAAAATGACGGCTTATAGACTTCGCGTACCATATTAGATAGTATATAGTCACGCGTAGTAGTGGTGATTGTATTCGAATATTCATATTTTAGAAAATTGAAATTTTTATTAAAATCAATAGGGGCATGCTCCAACTAGAGTTTCGAATAAAATTGATTAGAACGATTGTTTTATTCGAATAGTCATTCAAAGCGATTCGAATGCTCAAATAAATTACGAGTCATACAAATCATTCGAATAAACCTCATTCGAGTAGAAACCTAGCTGCAACAAATCGAACATTATAATTAGGTCACAGGTGATTAATTACAGAGGTCAAAATTTAGTGGGCTCAGAAAATATTCATAAGAATGATTACTTATCATATGATCAAATTAGAAAGAAAAGGAACTGTCATCCAACGTGACTAAATAATAGAAAGAAAAAATAATCATTGCAACATTTTTGTAATAATGATTGATACAAACATCAAAACAATCAATAAATCACACCATACTTGTTTGTAGACGAAGAGCTCGTTGGATGTAAATGGCAACAAAGTACATGCCGGTGAAGAATTGTGGAAGTACGTGTATGTGTATGAACCATCTAAATAGAATATAAAAAAAAGGAGAGTTAACAAATACTAAACAAGTTTGGGGGACGGTACCCCTTCATATAATAGGATAATAATAAAATTTGAAGAAGCATTTGTACACTAAACTTTAACACCCTTGAAAGAGAAACTGCTTGTCTAGAGTATGCCCAAAGCCTATATGGAATGGCGTCAAACAAGGAACAAAAGACCAATAGTAGTAATAATATTATTAATAATAAGGATTAAGGAGGAATTAAACATGAAACGCTTTACTAATATACAATTCTTTTTAGAATTTCTTTTTCGTGTTCATTTTACGGGGTACATGCATTATTAATAACGTTTCAACAAATTTATATGCCTTTTTTTATTGAATAACACGAATCTAATTATAATTCGTTGAAACAAGGTTTGACTTTATACAGTTTGAGTTCCAAGGTTCATTCTCTGAAAATTTCAATGATCATTCTTTATCCTGTGGTATATATATTATTAATATTAATATAGTAATAGATGTATATGAATAGTTCATACTAATATAGTAATGCCCTGAATTCTTAATGTAAAATTAATATTAATATGTCAAGAAGATGTTGTATACCGGAATGGGGCAAATAAAGCCAATTGAATATGAACTTGTAAATTAAAAGCATAAATTTTAATTTTATTTGTGGAATGTTAACAATAAAGTACATCTCCTCTCTAATTGGATTATGATCACGTGAATTTCTAACTAGTTAATTAAATACTAGGTATTAATAATGAAAGTATTAATGTAAATATTAAATGATTATAATTATAGTTTATTATGTTGAAAGAATTACTTGAAACTTGGTTTTTATTTGGATCATAATTACTATTACCACTATAATTACCACCAAAATTAATATCTAATTGAAATTTAACGTCAATTTCATTTGGATTACTAACAGCCAAACATTGTATTGTATTATTTGCTAATGGTTGTGATGGTGTTGTAGATTTTATACATGATGAAACTGGTTCTTTTTTTTCATTCATACATGAATATGCTTTATAATACCATGCAATTTTACCATTTGGATTTAAATATTTCAGCATTTCTGTACTATTTGTCAATACAACCATCACTCCTAATGATGAATCTTTAATATCTAGTGTGATTGTTTGTGAAGACGGCGTTATTGAAGATGCTGGTGATGATGATGATGCTAATGATGAATATGGTGATGATACAATATTAACAAAATTGGATTTTAATGACCATCCTGGTGCTAGTTCACCAAAATTTGATGTGACTGTCAAATCGTCTCGGTCCATTATTACAGTTAAATTATATGCTAAAGAAAAATTTTTTAATATTTCTTTCTTCAAATACTTTTAAATGATTATTATTATTGTTATTATTATTATTACCTATTTGATTTGTATCTTGATTACTACATATATACCAAGTATATAAAGATGGAATATTTGCGATTCTTTGACTTTTTATTCTTCTAATCTATGTATAGCAAGCAATCAATATATTAATTAGCCTCTACAATAATTATCAGATCAAAGAGAAAAAAAATTTAGATTACCATAAATATTATTATTGTAAGTGATATTATTTTATTAATTATTTTCATTTCGTATTTATATTTAGTAATTTTATTTTACTTCTATATTATTACATTAATATATATACACATAGATATACTTTCTAGTGAATTTATATATATATATTAATATCTAGTAAATATTCAAAGGAATGAAAAGGTCATCATTTTATAAATTTCGTAAGAAAGTAAACAATCATGTAGTGTAAATTATTTACAAATTATTTTGCCATTGATTGTTTGTTTTTTTCGTTGAATCACACCGAAAATTTTATTGGTTAATTATTCCACGTTGTAAAAATTCATTTATTCATTTTATCTTATGGTAAATATTTATAAGAGAATTTTTTTTTTAGAAAAAGCCAGAGTTAACCAAACCATCAAAGCCTACGGTTCATCTATAATCGTTAATTGCTTATAGTATAACAATTGTTCAGCTTCAGAATACTAAAACAAAAAATTTTATACCATTTTAAAAAGTTGACCGATAGTTTTATTGTTCATGACTCAAGCTTCAATCAAAACTTATCGGATAGTTTTAAAACTAAAAATTAGCTGCCAAATTTTGTTGTTATACAAAGTAAAATTTGTGTAACAGGTTTTTTATATATAGAATATTTTGATTTATTTATATTATTTGCTGTATTTCCTTTTTTATTAATCGAGCATAAATACCTGGAAAAATTGGATCCTAAAAACAAATTATGATATAATAATTGAAATAAATTCTTTTGAATATAAATTTTAAGAATCCACCAGGATCCACAATAATTTTTTTTTCTTACATATAGGATAAATATTGGTCTAAAATTCCATTTATTATTATTTTTTGTTAGATTTTATAATTACAAGTTAGTAATGACAAACACTACCACTAGCTAATATTCTACCATGTTTGTAGCAAATAAATATCCAAAAAATGACTGAATCTCATTGCTAAGTATTTATTCAAAGTATGCTTTTGCAAAATTTAAATGATGTAAATTATTCATATTCATTATTTTTAAGAAACAACTACTGAATTTTATTTAACTTTTTATAGTTTCAATCATATTAGAACTGTTTATTTATTTATTTTTACTATATAAAATTTTGCATGGAATTTATTTGTATCTGTTGTACGTGAAAATGAAATTATGTGAATTCGCATTCACATATGTGAAATTCAAATTTATATACGTGAAATTCAAATTAGCCAATCAGAATTTCACCCCACTCCATAACAATAATATTTCAATTTCACATAATTTCAATTTTCACACACAACATAAAACTTCATAAACTGTTACACACAAGTGATGAGGGAATTCATTTATAAATTAATATTTCATGATTATACATGCAGCCCAAAGTACTTTGACACTTATGTTTTTAATAGTGGGTGCCATAATTAATTTCTACTTTCTACATCAAAATTGGAATAATTTTGACCATCGAAATCACCAAACCAATTTGGGTTGCATGTATACCCAGACCAGAAAAGGCTGCTGCCATGTTAGCCGAAAAGTTTCCTACAACGATCCTACCTCTAGGGTAAGTATGGCTCTGTGACCAAGTTGCAACTCTGTTGATGAATTGTAGTGCTATGTAAACATATAGGTCTATTGAAGCAATAACTTGTTTCAAGCACAGGAGG